CCTCCCTCCCTCCCTCCCTCTCTTCCTTCCTCTCCCTTTCCTCCTTCCTCCCTCCCTTCCCAGTCACAATGCTTTCCTCCTTGGCACACCTTGTTGCAGAAGAGGCTTTGACCTAAGCATCTCTACAGATACTTTGTGTAGTGCTGTACTATTCCATATCAAATATGCTGTAGTTCTGTGATTCGGTGGCTCCTCGGCTGAGATGTATTTAAGAGCTTTCCATATTGCTCTTTTTTTGCTGCTTTGTCCCCCTGCAGTCTATTTTCTTTGGGCATACACTTTGGTTCAGCATGTAGGCATTTGCAAAATGATCAGGATCTCAGCAGAAATTTAGTGCAACTTCTCTCAGGCAAGCAGAGCAGATCTGGAGTTGTACTGCTATATTAAAGAAACAGGATCTAATCTGGCATGAGTAGTGGTTCTAAGCAAACTGTTGAGAATAAAGAAGCCAGATTTACCACTCCTGCTGTGTCTTGGGTATAAGGCAAGGGTCAGCCTAATTACCTTCAATATTATACCCCTGACTGTCTTTTCAAGCATATATTTTCTGAGTTGCCAGCTGAGTGAATGAAATATGAAATGTGCTCATTAACACTAGTTTGACGTGGAGATGGCAGAATTTCCATGGGAATGATTTATGTCTTTTTATACCTTTCCTGAACTGTAATGCAACCCATAACCCTCTCTCAGCTACTGAGAAACTGCTGAGGTGTATGCTTGGAAATAAAAGTTAATTGAAAGGCAGAGCAGAGCTGTTGACAATGGATAGATAAATTTCATGAAAATTTCATGAAAAAAGTAACATAAAAAAGTATTTTTGCTTTTCATGTCAGGAAACACGTCAAACGTGTGTTTGTTAACATACATGTTTCTATGATCATGGGAGTTAATCATCTGCAGAACACTACTGATTGTGCATACTTCTTCATGAGACTGAGAATACTTATAGCCTCTTTTGTAAGTAGTTATGACTGCTGCAGGGACATGAGAGGCATTATTTTCATAAATCCTGCAGAGCGGTGAAACTTAATGAAGCAAACTGCTTGACCATAAATTTCTTCAGGAAACTACTAATCACTTGCCTTTCTCCTATTCCTACAAATATCTCTTAGTCAAACTCAGCTGTATGAATGTTTCACCACTGTGTTGGAAAGGGCTTTCTCTCAGGAGCATATTGGCTCCTTCCCATGCGCAGACCTAAATTTTGCACTGTCAGGCCTCACTGCTGCTGACAGCCTGTGTGTATGAATACAGTCACAGATGGTGGTTCTCAAGGGATTTGCTTCTTTCACAGAGAAGCTTAGCAGCAATAAGTCGTAGCATATTGTAGCAAGAGATCCTGACTGTTTTCTTTATACAAGGGAAGAAGGCTAATGATCCTTAAACATACGAAGTCTGTTGTCACTCTTGGTAAATTTAGGAACTCGGGCTATCATTTTCTGTTGTTACAGCTTTTTAACTTGTTGGAATCTTTGTGGGTTTTTTTTTAACCCTATCATGTATCAATGCAAGTGTCAGCCTCAACTGTTGATTGCACTATCCAGCTCGAGAGGAAAGGAAAAAAACTGCCCTCTCTTCTGCACTAACAGTGCACCAACCCCATCCCTGAGCAACCTTTAGGCTTTTCTGTCAAGGAGATATCATAATGAGCTAGGGAAGGCAGTAAGCTCTCAACAGCAAGTTCAAAGTGGATTATGGGCTACTCCAGTGTCTGTACAAGGAAAGGATTCCCCAGGAAGGATTAGACAAAAGCTGGTCTTTGCTGGAGCTGTGAATGCAACCTGTGGCTGTGGACTCTATGGCACAGTGCTGTATAAGCTGCCATGCCCTAGTGTCTGAGCTAGAACTATTTAGCAAGCTTAAAATAAAATAAAATAAAATAAAATAAAATAAAATAAAATAAACTCTAAGTCCAAAGAACCTTGAAAGAGTCTCTTAAATGAAAAATGTTCTTTCTTCCCCTGCATCAATTTTAAGTGATTATGGTGGGAGGAAGAGGCGCTCATCATCCTCTAGGATTGCGTCCAAAATGAACCAAGTCATGATTGGCTTTTTTAGTCCAGTCTCTGAAGTTCTGTTGACAGTGATGTTCCTGCAGTTGTTGCATTTAAAGTGTGTTTCTGCTCCCTGACTCCTTTGGCTTTCTCCAACAGATGGATGGTAACATCATGGTCTTCTTGCACACGGAGTTGTGGTGGGGGCATCCAGACTCGACGAGTGACATGTCAGCGACTCACAGCTAAAGGCAATTCTGTCCCAATGTCAAATGATGCTTGTGCCCAGGGATCCAAACATCCTGTGGATACTCAAAGCTGCAACAGGCAGCCCTGTGTTGAGTGGGTGGCCTCCTCTTGGGGTCAGGTAAGGAGCAAGCAGGCAGTCCAATGACATGAGAAACCTTGTAGTACAGGATGGGAGATGAGAGGTGTAATTTTGCACCCTGATATATTTACTTTGTGATGTACAGGATTTTGAAGGGGCAGGTAGTTTCCTCACCTCTGTCTAACTCATATTTCCTGTACTACTCATCCTTGGTACTGAAGTTCCTGTGTATTCCTTAGAAGAGAAAGAAGGTACACTGCAGAGCATTGTATTATCCTTGCTGGAAAGCTTTATTCTTTCAGCTTCTCATTGCAGTAACAGATGACAGGTTACCTCTGTAATACTCTTCTCCTAAATCAATTATTCCTTTTACCACTTGGTTAGTGTGTTTCGATTGTGGTTGGACTGGTGGTTGTGATAGGTACTGCAGCAATCCAGTTTTACAAGGTGACTGATGTTGCCACTTAAAATAGGAGCATTCTTGATTTGTATGACAAAATGCAGAATAGAAAGCTAAAAGCCAACTGGTGTTGGAAACATCATCTAAAGCTCTTGCTTCTGTATTTTGGAAATTTCTCTTTCAAAGATAGAGTTATCATATTACTTTTGTGAGTAAAGCATAGAACAGTTCTTTGGATGAAAGAAGCACATTGCCCTATTTTTATTCACTTTGGAGTTCCAGGTAGGCACTGGTTATCCTCTCAAAAAGCCTCAGTCCTGCTTTGTAGATCTTTGTAGGTTTTATAGTTCCCAATGACAGCAATGCCTGGCTAAGATGATCAAAGTGGTCTGAATCCGTTTGTTGAACCTGACATTTGTGAATTATAATAATAAAATATTTCTTCTACTTGGGTTTTAAAAAATCAAGTCTCATGTGAGCCTATGCAGCTCAGCCTCCAAATCACAATAACATTATCAAACTACAGTTAGGAACAGATCGCTGGCAGGGTATCAATGGCATGCTAAGAAGTGCCATAGGTCTATATTGCACAAGTTCACTGATTAACTTTCCAAGGGAACAAAATAAACAGATGATCTCCTCTCCACCTTCTATAATTAATCCCTTTCCTTTCCCTTCTTTTCCATATAATTAACACCAGTTTTCCACAGGTTTTTAATTAAAAAGAAAAACACACACACACAGAGTCACATGCTATATACCTTCTTTTAATTATTACTTAATCTAAGCAGAGGAGCGGAAAGTTTAACAGCAAACATACTTGCATATGTTAGGATAACCTCAGTATTGGGAGAAGCTTGCAGATCTATTATGTTTGTCATATGCTGCTTTCATTTATTGTCCTGCAATTTTTAAAATTATTAAACCAAGGATAATATTGGTTATTGGTTAAATATGTTCTTGGTTGTCAACTATTCGATCAGGAATTATGATAGCACAAGGTGCAAGATGCATAGTAAAAGGAACTTATTGAGATTTCCTGTATGGAGCCTGGAATCTTGGCTAATGATATGGGAGCATTTTTTGGTTTGCTCCAGCAGATATATTTAAGGTTGAACTATTGAAGAGGAGAAGGGAATAAATCTAAAGAGCTGTTACAGAATCTACAGAGCTATTACAGAAATGTAATTTCAATACTAATGGAGAAGGGTCAGGTAGGACACAATATGGTTGTGTACAGCCTCCAAAGCCCACAGAGCTGCAGGAAGTACTTGAAAATTTCATGATTATTGCACAGCAGTGTACTTTTTGCTTCATCAGCCATCTTAAAAAAGAGAATATATCTTTTCTTCTTTTCCCTCTAAGTACTTTTCTTCTGTGTTCGTAGTGTAATGGGCCTTGCATTGGACCTCGACTGTCTGTACAACACAGACAGATATTTTGCCAGACCAAAGATGGGATTTTGGTGTCCTCTGATCAGTGCAGTGCCTTGCCAAGGTAGGAGATAAATCCCTTACGACTGTAAACCACAATACTTTGCAGATATTTTGAATGGACAAAGCTACTTGATATCTTTGGGTTTTTTCTGTGTAACAAAGAAGCTGTGCTGCATGGCTACTTTCGTGGTATAAATCTCACCAAATGTAGGCTCAGATTTTCAGTATACATTCATACAAGTGACAGAATGAAAATGGACCAACAACTAGAAATTCTTCTAGTGATGTCAAACACCATCTTAAAGGCTGCCAGTCTCATTACCACTCATTTAAACAAAGATTGTAGTTATAAAAAGAAGGGAACTGTGTAACATGCTTCTTCCTGCAAATAAATTCCATTGTTAATGTTATAAAAATATATAGGTATTTTATATGAGACTTATACACTTACTCTAATCATGACTAGAAATTAATATGATAGTCTTTTTTCATTATATTCAATCATATTTTTTCATTATCTCTGAGGCATTTAAGTTGGAACCAAGTATGACTTGTGTGTCTTTTCTGAGACCGTTGGAGGAAAAAGGAGGATTTCTGACTATCAGTTCTTCTTCCCCCTGTTTGTCAAGCCTAAAGAAGTAACAGAGCTATGCTGGGTTTGCTGGCCTGCTTCACCCATACCTCTTCAGTGGACTGTTGGCAGCATATGATAGCTGAGCACTTGTTTGGGCCAGCTCCTCAAGTGTTTCAGATGGTAACGTTACTCCACTAGATCTGTACCAGTTTACACCAGTGGAGGATTTGGTCCTTGAGTTCCCTAATAAAACTGAAATTTCCTCAGCTTGGAGCCAGTGAAGACATGGTGCTCCTCTTCGGTTATGCAAGGCTTTCAGTGCCCAGAGCTTACGTGTTGGCCACACCAGGTTGCATGTGCTTGCATGATCCCGAACCACTCTTCCCTCTCTGCTTGCAGGCCCCTAAGCACACAGAACTGCTGGACCGAGGTGTGCGGCGTGCACTGGCGGGTCAGCCTGTGGACGGTGTGCACGGCAACGTGTGGGAATTACGGCTTCCAGTCGCGGCGCGTGGAGTGCGTGCACATCCACACCAACAAGCCCGTGCTGGAGCACTACTGCTCCTGGAGACCCCGGCCTGCAAACTGGCAGCGCTGCAACATCGCGCCCTGCGAAAACAGTACGTTCCTGGGAGAGGGCTGGGAGGGAGCGGAGCTGCCTCGGGGAAGTGCTGTCCTGGCACTGCTAGGAGACATCGCCCAGGCGATGCGGAGAGCC